GGCTGACATGTATAGCAATGTATCTCAACATCTCAATATTAATTATGTAACAACTTTACTTTATTAATAAAGATCATGAGAAATGCCTCACTTGACAGTAAAAAAAAAATAAATAAAATATTTAACATTTAAATTTACTAATAACAAAATAGTTTTTATAATAAATAAATCAAACAATATAGTATAAAAAATAAATTAAAACAGTTGAAAAATATTTAAAAGATTGTTATTATAAATAAAAAAAATCACAATAAAATCAATAAAATTTGTCATTTAATAATAATTTTAATAAAAATAATATTATTCTTAAAAAACATTATAATATAATTGATAAAATTTGGTGTTGAATAATAAACATTTATAATGATTATTTTATATTGTTTATAATAACTTTTATATAAAATAATTCAATACATTTATATTGAAAAATGAAATCAATATTAACAATAATATATTTATATCAAAATATAATTTATTTATATTAAAAAATATAAAAATAAATAGAATATGAATAAATAATTAACAATAGCAAGAGTTAATAGACACAATTTATTATTGTTTTTTATTTACAATTTGAATCAAATAATTATGTTTCACCGATTTACATGATTCAAAATTATATAATTATTGAAAACTTGAAAGATTCTTTAATATAGAACAGTTATATTTTTTATGTATTTTGATAAGCTTTTTTATTGTCAGTTTTAAAGCTCAATACAATATATAATTTATAGAAGCTGTCGATCGTTTTAGATATGAGCAGCAGCAGGTGTTTTTTAAAAAAAAAGTGTTGTGATTATTCAATTGTTGGTTTCTAAATTGTTTACCAAACCAAACGTCCAAACTCAATTTGATTTATAAAGATCTTTAATATTCGTAGAATGCACTTTGTAATTACCACTTACAGTAAGTTGAATATTAAATTAAATAAATTAAATAAAACTTATGCTCGCATTTTGTACTGTCGCGGGTCAGGGGTCTATGAGCAGTAACGGCAAAATCCTAGACTTCATGACACTTCGACAGGGGTATCTGTTATAACGGGGGGGCTTAAAGGCAGAAAGAGGTGTGGATTTGGTGAGTTTGTGTGATTTGGGGAATTTTATTGGCAATAAGTACGTCGATTTTTAACTAGTGAACATTCTTTTATTAATTAAATTTTTCCACACTCTTTTTTTACTACATTTCCTTAGATCGTTTTTATACTTTTCTTACAGCAAAAGAAAATAACAGAAATAAAATAAAATAAATAAATAAAAATAAAAGAAATAACGAAAATAAAAGAAATAACGAGGTTAAAGGTCGATTACCCGTTTTGGCAACCTCTATAATGCGCGATCGTCGTTCCTCAATTTCTAAGCCATATCGTCGATCGCCGTTTCCCCGTAACAGTACAATCGATCTCAAATTTGATTGTTCAGTTCAGTATTACGTTGCACATTTACGTTATAGAGATACTTATAGGCGCAATGTACGTGCGTATAATACAGCGTGTCTTCAGACCTAATGATGTTGGTATGTAAGCTTCACATAATGTTCAAGAACTTTGACTAATTTAATCATTATGAATTTATAGAGGCACTATGGAACTACAAGATGATTCACATGAAACGTCGGAACCACAGCTAACTAAAGAAAAATTGGATGAACTCGATCTTCATTTCGCAGGATATGGAGAGTGTGAACACTGTGGGGAGTATAAGACCGACATCAGATGGTGTACGACATGTAATGCTGAGCACTTCTCGAAGCTTCAGTGGGAAAGTGGTAATAATATAATCGACAATTTTATTAGGAGTATTCAGAGTAGAGCCACGAATCATCATAAAATTCTGGAATGGGTTTCATTCAAAAATTTCGAGAATGTTAAATATATTGCGGAAGGCGGTTATGGAATCGTGTATAAAGCCAAATGGAAAGGAGGACGCATTCTTTACTTTGATAGCGAGACTCAGGATTGGAAAAGAAGTGGAGATATGGATGTTGTACTTAAAAGTTTACATGATTCGAAGGATATAACAAAGGAGTTTTTCAACGAAGTAAGTTGTTTTTTATTCTGTTTTCATTGATCATATACTATTACTAAATGTAATTTATGCATTAGATTGATGGTCAAATGAAATCACATTATGAGCTTGGCAATACAATCGAGTGTTTTGGAATAACAAAAGATCCCAATACTGAGAACTTCATGATGATTATGAAGTTTATGAAAGATGGCAGTCTTCGTGATTATATAAGAAATAAATTTTCAACTTTAACGTGGATCCAAAAATTAGAAATATTATATACAGCGGCTAAGGGTCTCTGCAATATCCACGAAGTAAACCTAATTCATAAAGATTTGCACACTGGAAACATCGTTCTCTATGATCAAGTATCTTATATCACAGATTTTGGATTTTGCAAACCGGCTAATTATGAAATGCCGGAGGGTGCAAAGAATGGTGAAATATTTGGTGTATTGCCATATATTGCACCGGAAAATTTATGCGGAGAAAAACACTCGATGGCAACAGATATATATGCCTTCGGGATTATTATGAACGAGGTGGCATCAGGCTGCCCACCATTTTATGATAAAAAGCATGACTCCGGTCTTGCGTTAGAAATTAATGACGGTTCTCGTCCAGTGAGCTGTGAAAATATTACTCCGCCATTAATCATTGATTTGATTAAAAGATGTTGGAACAAAAATCCCGAAGAAAGACCACAAGCAAAAGAGTTGCAAAAATGTCTCGGAGATTGGTATTTCCAATCAAAATCAGAAAGCTTCCATGAAATAAAAGACCAAATTGAAAAAATAGAAAAATCGCAAAACTTTGAAAAATACCTGAGTAGTATACCATGCAAAAGTACTTCGTCGGAATTTCATAATTCCTATACGAGTAGTAAAGTGAGCATTGTGAAATCCGTGAGAGTACCTCACATCGAATCTGCGTCAGGTACATATAATAAATCTGCAAATTCTAACATTATTCACCGAATACAGTACTGATATAATTATGTTTTTAGACAGTGGTGTTTATAATCTGACGATTCCCGATGAGAATGATGAAGTAAATAATAACTAAGCTTAGCATGTGCCGCAATAGATATTGTAAAAGCTTATTTACTTTCTATTTTTGGAATAAATATATATATATATGTGTGGTTGTGTTAATTTCTGTAGCATTTTAACAGTACATGTGCAACTTGTTTACTTTGACTATACTCCTACAAAAAAACCGGTCATCTATAATAAAAATTATTTTTATCAATGTCACGGATATATAACGAAAGTTAGTATCGGGGTAGGTCCCAGCGCCAAGTCACCTCGGGTCAGATGTTTCAGAAGGATGTTGCGAGATGCATTGTGATGTCATCATGTTTTCGCAATTTCCGCACGTCTTGGATGTGTAATGCTCATTACAAAATTATTAACAATCGACCATGGTATTCTTCGATCTTGTGCACCAGATGATGTTGGAACTTGTAATGTGACCATGTCAACATCATCCTTGTGGTCTTGCTCTTGATCTTTCGATTGTATTTCTTTTTAAAATTTTTGATATCATTAGAGTTTCGGTTCTTGAGTCTTGAATCTTTCCTTTTTTTTTTCACTATGTTTCTGTTTTCGATCTCGAAAGACCCATATACTTTTAAAATTCGGACAGCGTGCGATTGCATATACCAGGAGTTTCCTTCACCCAAGCATGCTATAGTTGATATTTGTCGTTATTAGTCACTCGTTTTCTTAAATATTTTTTGGTTCCACCTATATGTTGTAACATGAGTAAAAGTAACACAACCAGCACTGAGTGCTCGATCCCCGCGGCACCATCGTGAGATCTGGCCTAGTCGGACACAACTTGCGATATAGGGAAAGGAGAAGAAATGCCAAGAAACCTAACTAATCCACAACATAATTGTGACGATAATCAAATGACTTGGACTCGCAACGATCGCTATGTAGTAAAAAGAAATGTGAAAGATTATTTAATGATAGTTTCTCCATGAGATTTTACCAGCTTTAGCTTTAATTAATTTTATTCATTCTCATTATTTAATTAATGTGAATAATGTATGCCTTTATTAAAACACAATTATTACTTATCGATCGTTACCGTTACAATGCGTGACTTCAGTTTCTCGTCTTTTTTTTTTGTTTGCGACAATTCTAAGATCATTGTATCTGGCAGTGGGCACTATGTACAGTATATCCTACGAAGTTAGTCGTTCTCATTCCAGAATGGACACGAACTCTTATCATTTTCAATTGAACTCCAGTAATGATCTCATTAGAAGTAAAGTTTGCACCCTGTCTTTCAAGGTCATCTTTCTACTTTTCACTGAATACTTGTGCATAAAAAAGTTTTTTCTTTTGGTACCCTCCTTGTTAAACATTTATTAGATGTTCATAATGGAATACAAACATTTTCACCTGGTATGTGATCTTCATGTTTATTTCATTTACAATAAGTGCTCGTGGATATTCCATGATTATTCTGTATCTTGTTTGCAAATTTGGTAATTCATGCGTGTCTTTTCGTGTTTTATTATTATTATTATTCATACGATGATGCATTTGAGATTGACAGGAAGGTTTTCACGATCTTTATATCATATGATGTATAAACTCCATTACGAAAATGTACATAAAGCGAAGTGAAACAAAAATAGTCACATAATAATAAAACTGGCATTACCAGAAACAAAAAATTCTAATTACTCTTTTCACTTTTAGTATTTGTTACAAACAGAACAAGTGAAACAGATAAATGAAAAGTAAAAAACTAACAAAAAATACAAATAATAAATAAATATTTATTTATTTATTGAATAATACCTAATAAAGTCAAATTCATGCTTTAAAAAACAAAAGAAACTATAACAATCACAATATATATAAATATTGAAATATTGAAATAAAATGCCAAGCATATATAAAATGGAAATATAAATTATTAAAATATAATTTAATATTTAATATTTTCAAATGGTTCTAATATATGTATATTCAAGTTTAAATAAATTTATTCAAAATGAATTAAATTAAAAATATTTTAACAAAAACTTTCCATTTGTTTAATTTTTTGAAAAGGTCATAGTTCAATAGTAAAGTCTTGTTAAAACTTTATGTCAAAATTAGAATTATATTCAAATATAAGCTTATTGCAAATAGAAAATATTAAAAGAAAAAAAAATATCAAATTATTTAATTACAAATACAATATTTAAAGAATGATAATAATCTGACTTTATTAAATTAAACATAAAATAAAAAGAGTTTGTATAATTAGATTTATAAAAATTAACTAGATCAATAAAAAAAACAAATATTAAATAATATATAATAAAATATAATAAAAAATTTCAATTTAACTAATATATTTTTTAAAAAATCATTTATATATACTGTATCTAAAGTTGTAATAGTTTAATAGAAATGATTTTTAAATCCATAACAAATGCTAAAATTTTTAATTGTATTCTTTAAATAAATAAAAAACAAACCACTTAAATTAAACTTATATTAAATATCAAATATATATTTAAGTTTAGAAAAAAACTTTAAATTATATATAATTTGTAAAAAACTTTAATAAAAAAAACAAAATTCGAAATGATAATATGTTAAAAAAATAAAATAGAATTTTGTAATAATTCATAAAAAAAATAATAATACATTAAATAAAAAAATTATTAACTTTAATATAAATCCAAAAATATTATATAAGAAGTAAATAGATATTATTTAATTAAAATTTTTATGATATATTTTAAAAATTTTTATAAAATATTAAATCTATAATATTACTTTTTTAAGTTTTATTAATATATTATTTTATAACAGAAATCAAATACTTTTTGCTATAAACTATATAGTTTTTACTATTGATTATTAATAATTTATTGTTTAATTTATAAATTTTATAAAAAAATATAATTTTTAAAATTACAATATAGAATAATTTTTTTTAAATTTTAAATATTAATATTTAGAATATAACAATAAATAAATCAGTGAATTAATATAATATATGAATTATTTTTCTAATTTAAATTCTAATAAAAAATATTTTTGATTAAATTATTAAAAAATTATTATTATTATTTATATTGAATACATGTTTTTGTTAAATAATATACTAAAAATTTTTATATAATATAATATAGAATTAAAAAAGGTTTTTTTAACAAATAATTCTTTATAAAATATATACAGTAATTTTCTATAAAAATATAATATGTATGTATATGTAATTCTTATAAAAAACACAGAATAATTTGTTAAAAAATATATAATCGATTATAAAATTTTATTACTTGAGATAAGTTTTTTATATTTATTCCTTCATAAATTTTTGAGGATAAAAATTTATAAAAAGTAAAGTTTTAATAAATATTATGTCAATTATAAAAAGAAATTTCTAAGAAAAAAATAAATTTACAATAAGCTCTTGAATTATAATGATGAGAATATCCGAAAATGGTCTATACTGTATCTGGACAAATAAAAGGTCGGTTACTAACTTTGACCAAAATCTCATCTTGTAAATCCAATTCAGATATGACTTTATTTAGTTAGTACTTAATTTATTAACTGTTCTACACAATCATTGTTTCTCGCAATTTACTTATTTAGTAAACTAACTTTATATACTGTACATATTCTTTTTATTATAGAAAAAATAAAAAAGTTAAGAAACGAAACTCTTTTGTAGATACTCATTACAAAAACACTTATTCAAAGGATTTTACTTAAAACTCTTGCAATGAACTGTCCATACAGTATTACATGCTTTTTTTTTACTATAGGATTAGTAAAGAGAAAATGTACTGTAACATAACATATAAGTGTTATTATTATTTTTTTTTTTACACTTTGCAAATTCATCATTCGCGAAAATTGCGAAAACTTTCAAAGGATTCCGAGGATCAGTGTTTGTGCTACTAAATAAATAAAAAAAAAAGTAAACCGATGCTCTCAAAGCCCTTTTACTCATATTTCGGAGTCATGGGATTGGAAAGATCACGTACAAGAGGGTGCATAAGTGGGAAAATCAAATGAGTCGAAAACTGGTTTCGACAAGAAATGTCCTGTATTTTGTACAGTATATGTATTGTTGTAATTTATTAGTCTATACCTTTATCCTTTTACGTACATGATATAGTACTTTATTTGGTCCTCGCGTAGTACAGCACAGTCTTTCTGTAACGAACGGCCTTTAACATCGAATCACTGTTCTCACCATTTCCTCTGTTGAGAACAATAAAGAATAAACTACTGTATTGCGCATTTTTAATAACGATAATCTACACTTATTTAGTTATTTTAACGCACAGTACACATTACAGTACTGTGTTTGGTTACGTAATCGAGAGATAAATTATATAAAATAACAGCAATAGCAAATTTTTTCTTTTTCGGATAAGAAAAAAAAAATAATAATACTAATAACAATAATGTATTCTCATAGAGGTAGGACTTAGATATTCAATAAATGAAAGATACATGTATATTCTAACAAAATATTTTATTAGGGATCGAATCAAGAACATCCGAGGACATATTGAAAGAAATTGACATTTGCATTAATGATATTAAAATTGATGAAAAAAAAGAGTTAGGCAGTGGATCTTTTGGTAGTGTATATCGTGCAGAATGGACAGACCGGAATCTTGTCGTCGCAGTAAAATGTTTGGATCATAAAATTTTAAGGTCAAGATATGAAGAATTCAGAAATATGAAAGAGTTTATTGATGAGCTTCTTCACGAGGTAAGAAATAATGTATGTGCATTGTGGACATTAAATTTATACATTCTGTTCTGTTTATTTTGATTATCAAAGGTTAAAATGAATCGAAGAGCAGGCCTACATAATAATATAACAACGTTTTATGGAATTTCAAAAGAATCGCAAGGTTTGTAATTGTTTCCATTAGCATTATTGTATTGATCTTTCGTTAACAGTCTTATATAATCACATCTAGATAAATATTATCTTGTATTCGAATATGCGCAAGGAGGAAATCTAAGACACTATTTACGCAATAATTTTTCGATGCTTAATTGGCTGATGAAAATAAATATAGCCAAGCAAATTGCCAACGGACTTTCTCACCTTCATAGTCATGGCATAATTCATAAGGATTTAGTGAGTTCCAAAAATGTATTCGTTGGCTTATTATCAATACACCATTTAATGCATTAAATTAAATTTTTTCATATATAGCATTCTAAAAATATATTGGTTAACGGGGGTCAAATTCAAATTTCTGACTTCGGTTTGTCGAAATTTGAATCTTCAAATTCAATTTCTCGTACACCAGGAACTCATTTTTATACTGATATGACATATATCGATAATGGTATTCGTAAAGACAAACAATTTGATATTTATAGTTTAGGGGTGTTGTTATGGGAAATTTCAAGCGGACGTCAACCCGCGGTTCGCTCGGAAAAACCGATTAATGGCACACCCTTAGCTTATGTAAATATCTATTCAAAAACATGGAAAAGGTCAATAGAGAGACCAGATATCAATAAAATATGTGATGATCTCAATAACGTCAAAATGAGGCCGGTATATTATGTACCATCTATACCCATCATTACAAAGCTATCCGAACTTAGCGATGAGCCATTAGATTCATACGGCTCAGGAGGTATTGTTGACTTTCACGACTTCTAAATTTCAACAATTTCTAATTAAATATGCATTTAATTAATTTAAAGTTCAAACGTTGCAAAATACACCGAACAATTTAATATCTGAATGTATACTATTTTGTAATTTCTAGTAGTTACATTATACGGTATATTTAAAAGATACTAATTTATCAGAAATTTTATATTTAGATCATTCGTCCACCAGCTCTAGCGCTAAAAGTAGAATTGACGAAATGTTTTATTGGTATTTGCAATCTGCCAACAAAGGGAATGCTATGGCTCAAAATAGTTTGGCCTATTGTTATCAACATGGAATTGGAATAGGAAAATGCGAAAAGGAGGCGTTTCAATGGTACCTGAAGTCTGCAAGAGGTGGAGACAGTGATGGACAAGCTAATATTGGAGATTGTTACCTAAATGGAATTGGAACTGAAAAAAATGAGGAAGAAGCATTTATATGGTACCTGAAATCTGCAGAAAGTGGAAACAACATAGGACAGAATTGTCTAGGAGACTGTTATAGGTATGGTATTGGCACAGAAAAGGATGATGCCCAAGCATATCAATGGTATTTAAAATCAGCTGAAGATAGAAATGATGAGAAGAATTACAATATTTTAGTTAGAACTATCAAAGATAAAATTGAGGAATTTCAACGTTACTCAGAATCTGCCAAAGGTGAAGATAATGAAGGGCAAAATAATCTTGGGGATTGTTATCGATATGGAATAGGGACTGAAAAAGACGAAGAAAATGCATTTAAATGGTACTTAAAGTCTGCTGAAAGCGGTAATAATTTAGCACAAAACAATCTTGGTGATTGTTATCGTTATGGAATTGGGACGGCTCGTGATAGAGAAGAAGCATTTAGATGGTACTGTAGGGCCGCTGAAGAAGACACAAATGCAATATCTCAATGTAATCTCGGTGATTGCTATATGCTTGGAATTGGAACTGAAAAAAGTGTGGACACGGCATTTAAATGGTACCTGAAATCTGCCGAAGCTGGGAACAATTGTGGAAAAAGAAAATTAGGCAACTGTTATATTGATTTATTTGCAGATGATATGAAGGCATATCGATGTTACTTGGAATCCGTCGAAGTTAGTAATATTAGAGCACAAAATAATCTTGGAGATTGTTACAGAAATGGGATTGGAACTACAAAAGATTATAATAAAGCGTTTTTGTGGTATTTAAAGTCTGCTGAAGGTGGATACCACCTTGGTCAGTACAATCTTAGGGATTGTTATAAGAATGGAATTGGGACCGAACATGATGAAGAGAAAGCGCAAGAATGGTACCTAAAATCAAAAAATGGAGTATTGGAAAACAATAATCCTGAAAGTTGATCGTTTAGGAAACATTGAACATTTATCACGCGTAATATTCAATCACGATTTGAAGATTCTGTATTGCAGATGGGATTAATGTTTATTTATTGACAAAACTAGATAAATGCAAATATTCAGATGTTATTTGTTTTTTAATATAAAAATTTTATTTTATAATTAGAGTTAAGTAAAAACTATTAAGATTCCATGTGTATTTAAGAATAATATATTCAAATATTTAAAGTGTAATAAAGCAACTACTGTTGATGTACTAAGACTATTGTAGTTTCGGAGGCCTAAATATTGACTGTACAGAGTGTTGATAAAAAGTAAAACTGATTCGGATTATTGATATATTTATTTTTGAGTAATTATAGTGTTTGCTTGGTTTATAAACATAACATATTATCGATTACTTTTTTGGAAATATAAGACAATAAAAATAATATATGAAAAGTTGGATGCAAAAATAAGATAATCTAAGAAAAAATATATCAGCATATAATATTTGTTTCTATTTGATATTTTAAATGCTTCTAAGAATATTTTTATACCATCAAAAGTTATATTTTTTGTAAATTATAAGAAAAAACTCTGAATTTTTGAAACTTCATAATGAAACAGCAAGGGATTTGAAACTTGAATTAAAGCCAGACAATACAAAATTCTTTTTTTTTTGCAATCATAAAAACATTAATATTATATAGAAATGATTATATTTAAAAATTAATAATCGGTATTTTATATAATTTTTAAGCATGTTAATAATTAAAACAATAATTGTGATTGATAAATTATCTTTTAATTGTAATATATATGTTATTTACATAGTTTTTTTTTTATAAAGCACATTGTTTTTGACTTCAAAATTATTTTAAAATCCAAATATTTATTTACAGTAAGAGATATCGTATAAATAGCATGTATTTGTTCTGAGACAATATGATATGAAAATCATGCAAATTAATTTATCGTACAATTTATTGTTATACAATAATTGGTTATGTAAACTAGAAAAATTATACTATTTGATTCGGTCAAATTGCCGGGATGCTGTTAAATAAATAAAGACAAAAAATTGCATATATTAATACCATATAGTATTATCTAACGGTCACAAATAAAATAAAATTATTATTAACTTTACCGGTAATTCTCGAAATAACCCGGCTAGTATAATGCGCCAACGGATGAGTTTTTAATTCAAAATATGGTACAACTGGAAATGGATTTTTTTTTCTTTCTTCCTCAGCCAACTTAAATTGATTCCTAATCTTAATTTCATTATCTGTAAGATTCTCTGATGCATCTTTAGAAATAATTAAGATCCATTGTTCCAAAGTTTCGGCTAAAATGTGAGCTGTAGGACGTTTTTCTGGATCAGGATCCCAACATTGCATCATTAATTGAACATAGCTTTCCGGAGTCCCTTTAATTACTGGTGGTCTTAAACCACAGTAAATATCGTAAACTAAATCTGGTCCAAAAGCCATATTGTGAAATGGTGGTTGGCAGGATGTGCACTCCCACATGGCAATTCCAAAGCTGTAAATATCCGTAGCTTTCGTGTGAGGTTTGCAGGCAAGAACTTCTGGCGCGACATATGGTATCACACCTTTAAGGCTACCTTTCATAGTTTGACCATCTTCACATGCTAGTCCGAGATCGGAAATGAAGTTACGCCTGTTCTTTCCAAAAAGCATATTCCCGGCGTGTAGGTCTCTGTGCACAAGATTTGCTGCGTGTAAGCTACGAAGATCAATCGCAAAACTCCAGAGTCTATCGAGACGATCTACCCAAGTGCTATTTGCAAAATTAGAGGATAAATAAGCTCTTAAATCACCTTCCTCTACAAATCTCATAGCAATTAAATATTTTTTTGTTTCTGGATGTCGTGTAATTCCATAGCAATCTAAGGAATACAGATTAATCTTCAAACATTCATGAAGAGCGTTGACCTAAGTAATAAATTGAAGCTTTACTATATGTTGACGAGATAACAACAACCAATCAATTACCTCTTTTAAAAACTCTGTAATACTATTTTCTTCTTCTGTTATATATTTTAGTGCAACCCACATTGGCTCATCTCGATCCCATTTATTTGCCTTAGGGTTCCATTTACGGATACGTCCTACTTTTGAGTATGACTTAAAAACAGTGCCATATCCACCTCGTCCTATCTGATTTAATTCTGAAAGTCTAGTTTCCGGGATCCATTCTAAGACTTGTTCGGGAAACTCAGCAGTAATTTGTGTTTTGTAAATGAATTCATCAATATCAGAATTTCCACTTGTCCAATTCGAGCGTTCCGACTTAAAACGATTAGAATAACAGCCTCTGCACCAACGTGGAGACATCCATTTTTTATTACAAGAAGGACACAGTTCTACTAATTTTTCTATCACTGCATAATTCATTGACTCAGGATCACGCGTTAATCCATAAATTAGACGCTTTGATGAATTAGATTTTACCAATTCTAGCTCCTAAATGAAACAAAAGAACAATCGTGAGAGAATTATTACATTTATTTGCATAAAAAAAATAATAATGAATCATAATAAATTATACCGATTTAAGAAAACTTGAAATCAAATATTTTTCGCAATAATTGGTTATCAATTTAACCCGCTGCCTACCAGACCGATTCCATTTATTTAATTCCGAATTCCAATTTATCGCATATCCATCCTCCCAATAAGCTTCTTTGTTTATTGAGAAGTCCACCTTTCTTAGAAACGTAAATTTAGTATAGTCAACCCATTCTAATACGTGTTCGTGTCGCTCAGCGGCTAGCTGAGATTTTTGGATAAATTTGTCGATGGCTGCGTTGTCACTTGTCCAATTTGAGAACTCGGCCTTAAAATGTTTGCTATTGCAATGTTTACACCACCGAGTCTCTGATTTAATAAGTTTATTACATCCTTCACACTCAACAACATTATTTTTTCTTCCATGGTACATAATATTATCCAAATATTTCGACAAAATCATACGTATCTAAGTTGTTCTAACCTTTGTCTGTACTAATTGATGATATCGTAATCTGCGTTTTTCCAAAAATCTCAAAATATGTTATAGCCAGCAATGTTTTATATACAGAGGCACTATTAGAAGCCGAAATATATAGAAATATGTGTAAGCAATGAAAAGAACTCGTTACACGATGCTTCGATTATGGTAGAATGAATGAATACTTACAAAGTACGTATTTCAATACGTACGTTATAGGAAAAAATGTAATGTAAAATTCACGGTCATCCATTTTACCCCACATACATACTACGAGGCGTATTAAATGTATATCAGATATGATCTTTTTTGTAATTGCCTGAGAATTTTTTTCAAGACAATAAAAGAAATATTTTAGCAAATCTCTGATCTTTACAATAATGATCTCTATATTTTTTCTAGGGACGACAATATTACAATAATACTGTACTAAAGGATCTATTTAACCGCAGTGATATCCATTGAATTTTGATAAGCTATTCACATACATACGCACTATGTGAAAGACATTATTTTCCTTACGCGTACGTACAGTTAACACTGAAAACAACGCCTGATTTTTATGCATAATGTAGTCGGACATCACCGTACATTGATGCAAACAGCACCATAAATATCATAAAGGCGTGAGTTGATAAGAACAGTGCACAGTATGCATATGCAGATTCCTGCATCATTCAAGTACGCACGCAACACTTTAGTCACAAGATTTTAAACTGGTCGCCTTACCTGAATCATTACGATTTCTTAGACATGTATATTGAATTTCATATTTATATAAAACAATTAATTTTATATTGTGCAAAAAAAATCAAATTAAATAATACACATATTTTTATCTAACAGAATAAAAGAAACTTACGATTTATTATGGGTAATAAAATAATTACTTAATAACATAGACTCTAAATTTTTTGTTCGATATTGTTTTTATATTATTGCAATACAGTATAATAAACTTTATGATTAAAGTTTTTAAATTAGAGACTAATAGTAATTACGTAACTGAAAAAAATGCAAAGTCATAATATACGTACATAATCCACATACAGTGATTATAATATTATTCCATATAAGTTATCAAATATTATATACAGCGTAATAATGTGTTTCATTTAGTACTATTTTATGATATCATGTTTAAGTTTTATTATTATTAAACGTGTATCTTTTTCTTATATTAATTATACATGTGTTTTAACGCATTAAAATAATTTCTAAAATAAAAGAAAAATACTTTTGAAAATAAATAAAAGAAAAATACTTTTGAAAATAAATAAATGAAAAATATATTATATATTACTAATTGTTAAAATACAAAAAATATATATATAAATCAAATTGTTTTAAGTAATTTAAATATTTGCATTTTAATAAATATGTTCTCATTTATTAGATTCTATAGTTTCAAATTTTTATTTTGCTTTTATGTAATTATTTGTTTTTATAAAGAAGATTATTTTTTCAATTAGTTATATATATATATTTATTTAGACATTTTTAAAAATTTTTTTTTACTTCATCAAATTTAATTATAAGTAACTAAATTAAATTTTTATATAAATATATATAACTTAATAATTCTTTTTAAATATATTAATAATTTTTTACTTATTATTTTTATTATAAGAAATTCAATTTTTACAAAAACATTAAATTCTTAAAATAAACTATATTTCAATAAAATAATATAATTAAAATTATATGAACTAATATAAATCTTTGTTAACCAGAAAAAAATTTATTTTCTGAAATTATTAATTAATTTTTTAATAATTTGAATTTGAATTTTATCAAAAAAAATTGTATTAAGAATAAAAAAATAAAATAATTTATAATAAAACAAAAAATAAAAATAAATAATAATCTAAATATCTATATAATATAATATAATATATGTATTAATAATGATATTAAAGCAAAAAAATTCTTTATTATTTTATTATATAATAAATATTTAGATCTTAAAATATATTATTATACATATTAATCTTTTATTATATAAATATATTTTAAAAAACTTCTATTTATAAAAAAAAACAAAACAAAAACAAATATTTAAAGATTAATAACTTTTCAATAATTATTTTATTATAAAATAATATTAATGGATTTTTGAAAAAAAAATTAATAATAATATTTAAATTATTTAAGATTAAAATAAAATATTTATTAGTTGATATGATTTTTTTTTGACTTTATTATTAAATAAAAACATTTAATTGTTTTTTCTTAATTAATTTAATTGAAAAATATTGTATATATATATATATATATATATATTATGTTTTGTTTTTAAAAATTTATATTTTATAATAAATTAAATTAAAAAAATTATTCTGAAACTCATTTAAATTTTTTAAATTTTTGGAAAATATTTAATATTTTAAAATAATGATTTATATTTAAAAAACCAAATAATAAATTTGTATAAATAAAAAAAAAAGAAATTTAAAATTTTATTATTTTTATATAAAAAACTCTTTCCCGTAAATCATTTCATACCTGAAAATTTCCTCATTTGATAATAGTCTTTCCAAGAAACTTACTTCCCAAGCACTTCCAAGTGCTCACAACCACTAAATAACTTCCACCATGAAGCGCCCACAACTAACAACAACAAAAAACAGTTCTTACATGCAACAATTCACCAGGACTGGAATCTACTCTTCCAAATTTTCTATCTCAACCTCAGTAACAACAAAATTATTGAAACAGAATTCGCAAGAAACCTTCTTATTTCCAACTTGACAAACTTCCCCAACCAATTCCTTATCGTAAGAGAAGGAAAAAACATTTAAGAAATTGTAAAAACAGACTCTACAAATGACATCCGCATCCTCAACTTTATAATGAATACCAACAAAAGAGGGAACCAAAGCAGACTTCCCCAAACTTGCATTTCTCTCTCTAATATCAGAAACATACCACTTAACTTTCAATACATCAGTAACATCGTGGAAAAAATGAAAAAAATCCAACTAAACACTGAATTCTACAACCATCTCCAAGAATTTCTTTCTATCTCCCAAGGAGCTACTAAAAACCCCAATTAGCTTACCCTGAAAACGATCATTTGTCAATCACTTCTTTTGTCTTCTAAAAAAGGAATGTCAATCAAACAACCACAATGCATACACATGCAAGCCCCCTGATTACCACTTCAATCTTTATCAAATCTAGTAACTCTACAGAAATCAACGCAACAATGGACATACCAATGAAATTATCTGACCTGGATCCTGCCAAACTCAAACAAACTAATCAAACAAATGTTACTCCAGTTACCCCTTCTGACAACCACATGACAACACCCAGCTTTAACATGAAAATCAGTGAAATTCTTCCCACAAGCCAATCAAATTTAATGATAATTGATGATATTATCGACCTTGACGAACTTGCCAAAAATCCTACGTAACCAAAAAATACTCCATATGTATGGTCATTCTCATTCGAACAACAAGTCCAAACAGAACTTCAAGAAATTAGGAATACTAAATACTATGAAGCACTCAGAGCTGATACTAAAAAACTAGTTAATAATCTCCTATGAGCACCAAATAATATACAAGTCATCATCCAAACTATCGACACTATTATCAAACTCCCCAAATATCCACCTTATTACCTGAAAGCAATAATGAACAAAATTAATTTTAAAGACCATACATTCTTCAGCTCTTTTACTAAAAAAGAAGATCTCATACCAGCCTACCAAAAGGAATTCATCGAAATTGAAAAAGACTTCCAGGACAAATATAAAAGAGAAAACACCCTACACTTCATCAACTTTGAAACCAAAAAGAAAATCCGTACCATAATCCACATTATTTTATCAATTATTGACCTATGCACTATCGACATCAAAAACATGTCTTATTATAAATTAGCAAGCCTTCTTACTTATCTTATCAATTATCTTATCAAAAAACCAACTTTCTTCCTTGATTATATTTCTATTAAAGAAGAACTCAAAAAACATTTCATTGACTCTCTTCCGAACCTTCCATTCGAACCAAACGAAATCCCCTCCCAAATCAAAATCAAACTCTCCACAAAACTTCCAATGCCAAACAAGGCCAATCTAATTGCAACCCTTCAAATTTTAGGTTCTTACTATAAATTTGACAAACTTCCTGATACCTACTTCAAAGAAAACCTCTTTCACCCGGAAAATCCAAATAATCTACCAATCAAATACAAAAATATCTTCCCTATCAAAAAGAGAAGTGATCTTAACAATCTTTCCAATTACAAAAATCTTTTACATGAAGTATACAAAGTTCCACCCAAACTACCTGACACTTACTTTGACCTCCCATCACCAAAAAAACCACTACCAACAACATATCAACTTCTAGATCCCAAATACAAACATCTTTTCTCCTTCAATTCAAGGGACAGCAACTTCACTCTATAAGAAATCATAACTTTACTCAGGAAAACCTATTACTTAAAACATCTACTCAATGACTTCTTTTTCATTAGAACAAAACTTCCTTTATCCCCCTCTGATGCCTTACTTGAAACAAACATCCTCCTCCCAATAACAAATCCCGATGACATTTCCACTCTTCTCAAAACACTAGCCAAAAAATACATCTTCACTAGCACTCTCTCCAAGGAGTGAATCAATCTCCCTCCTTGCAAAGCCCCAACTTCAATCCAAAATCAAATTGACAACACAAATAATGATGAACAGCCTATTCCTCCAAACAAATCCTCATTACCAACCGACTATCATAAAGTAAATAAAAAAGCAGGAACCAATTTTCCAATTACCAAAAAAATTGATGTCCACCCTAATATTATTAAAGCTCATCAATTCTATCAATTTTCAAGGATCCCTGACAGTTGGATTCAAATTCCTATCAAATCTCAACTCCCCAATTTCACTGAACTCAAAAAATTCCTTACAGAAAAACACATCCAAATAGAACTTCCAATTA